AAGATCAAAAGAAACAAAGAAAGATATTACATAAAGATAAAAGGATCAATGTAACAAGAAGAGCTAAAGATCCTAAACATATATGCACCCAATACAGAAATACCCAGATATATAAGACTTACAAAGAGACTTGGACCCTTACACAATAATAGCGGGAGACTTTAACATCAATATTAGATAGATTAATGAGACAGAATGTTAGCATCGATATCCAAGACTTGAACTCAGATCTGGAACAAGTAGACTTAATTAACATTCATAGAACTCTCCACTTTAAATACACAAAATATACACTCTTATTAGTACTACATCACACGTATTTACAGGTTTAAATGAAATATTGGTTGGCTACTTGTTAATTATTTTCTTCCCTCATTTTTTTTTATTTTTTATTTTTATTTTTATTTTTTTTTAATGTCTCTATTATTAAACACAATTACAGGTTTGTAATTCTTTTAGCTTCTGCTGCCTACCAGGAGGGCTTTGCTCCATTCAAAGTGACAAACTTTACACAGGACAAGATAAAACCATACATAGTACATAACACAATGTTACTGGAACTCAGGGAACAGAAAATGATAGTAGGGAAACGGAGATACTATAATTGAAGGGCATTGTTATGAAATAGAAGTTTGGTTTATGATCTCTCATCCCAGAGTTAAGAACCAGGACCGATAGTGGAACAGCATGGGGTAAGTGTGAAATGAATTGGACTTGGGATTGAGAGTCTAGCACAGCCACTTCTAAGAAACCTTTTTCCTATGGCCGGGCATGGTGGCTCAAGCCTGTAATCCCAGCACTTTGGGAGGCCGAGGCAGGTGGATCACGAGGTCAAGAGATCGAGACCATCCTGGTCAACATGGTGAAACCCCGTCTCTACTAAAAAATACAAAAAATCAGCTGGGCATGGTGGCGCTTGCCTGTAATCCCATCTACTCAGGAGGCTGAGGCAGGAGAATTGCCTGAACCCAGGAGGCAGAGGTTGCGGTGAGCCAAGATTGCGCCATTGCACTCCAGCCTGGGTAACAAGAGCGAAACTCTGTCTCAAAAAAAAAAAAAAAGAAACCTTTTTCCTTTAAGCAAATCACCTTAGTGGATAAAATCTGTGGTTCTCAAACTTTAGGCTATATCAAAATTACCTGCAGAGTTTAAGACTGGATTGCAGGGTGCCACCATCAGAGTTTCTGATTCAGAAGTTTTGAAGTTGGAGCATACAGTTTGCATATCTTTTTTATTTTTCTTCCTTTTTTTTTTTTTTCTTCTTTAATAGAGACATTGGGATGTTGTAGGGGCATGAGTGTGTATTGCCCAGGCTGGTCTTGAGCTCCTGAGCTCAAGCAGTCCTCCTACCTCAGCCTCCCAAAGTGCTAGGACTATAGGCTTGAGCCACCACATCCAGCCCAATTTGCATATTTAACAGTTTCCTGGAGACACTGATGTTGTTAGTCCAGAACTGCACTTTGAGAACCACTGGATTAGATTATCCCTTTGGCCTGTTAGACTGTAAGATTATGAGAATACAAGATAAATATAAAGCAGATTTTAGTTTGATGTAAGGGAATAGGTCAGTTAATAGAGTTGGTTCAAAAAAAAAAAAAAAATTAAAGGAGGCAGGTGAATCACCTGAGTTCAGGAGTTCAAGACCAGCCTGCCCAAAATGGTGAAACTCCATCTCTCCTAAAAATACAAAAATTATGCTGAACTTGGTGGTTCACTCCTGTACTCCCAGCACTTTGGGAGGCTGAGGTGGGTGGAGTTCAAGACCAGCCTGGCCAATGTGGCGAAGCCCATCTCTACTAAAAATACAAAAATAAGCCAGACGTGGTGGTGGGTGCCTATAGTCCCAGCTGCTTGGGGAGGCTGAGGCAGGAGGATTGCTGGAATCCAGGAGCTGGAGGTTGCAGTGAGCTAAGATCACGCCACTGCACTCCAGCCAGGGTGACAGAGTGAGACTGTCTCTTCCTCCACGCCCCACCCCAGAAAAAAAGAAATTATAAAAATTGGCCAGGCTGAGATGGGAGAATTGCTTGAACCTGGGAGGTGGATGTTGCAGTGAGCTGAGATGTCACTCCAGCGTGGGTGACAGAATGAGACTTTGTTTTAAAAAAATAAAGCCTCAAATAGCTGGGACTACAGGCATGTGCCCATCTTGCCAGGCTAATTTTGCCATTTTTATGTAGAGATGTGGGTTGTGCCATGTTTGTTGCCCAGGCTGGTCTCAAACTCCTGGGCTCAAGTGATTTGCCCACCTCAGCCTCCTGAGCCACTGTGCCTAGCCAAGATACTTTTTTTTTGATTACAGGGTCTCACTCCGTCACCCAGGATGGAGTGCAGTGGCATGATCTTGGCTTACTACAGCCTCCACTTCCCAGGTTCAAGTGATTCTCCCATCTCAGCCTCCCGAGTAGCTGGGATTACAGGCGTGTGTCACCATGCCTGGCTAATTTTTTGTATATTTAGTGGAGAAGGAGTTCCTCCATGTTAGCCAGGGTGGTTTCGAATGCCTGACCTCAAGTGATCTGCCTGCCTTAGCCTCCCACGGTGCTGGGATTACAGTGCCCAGCCATGTCTGTCTGTCTTGTTTTTTTCTTTCATTTTGGTGAAGTGCAACTTCTGAGAAAAAGTATATGAGACGCAAATATTTTGCGTGTCAGAAAAAGTTTTTTTTTTTTTTTTTGGAGTCAGTCTTGCTCTGTCACCCACGCTGGAGTGCAAGCGGCACAATCTCGGCTCATTTTAACCTCTACCTCCCAGGTTCAAGTGATTCTCCTACCTCAGCCTCCCAAGTAGCTAGGGCTGCAGGTGTCCACCACTATGCTTGGCTACTTTTTGTATTTTTAGTAGAGATGGCATTTCACCAAATTGGTCATGCTGGTCTGGAACTCCTGACCTCGTATTTGCGTGCCTCAGCCTCCCACAGTGCTGGCATTAAAGGCATGAGCCACTGTGCCCTGCCCAGAAAAAGTCTTTAGCTTTATATTTGATTGATGACCTAATTGGATTTAGAATTGTAAGTTGAAAATAATTTAATCTTTCCTTAGAATGTGTTTTTTTTTTTTTTTTGTTTTGTTTTTTTGAGACAGAGTCTTGTTCTGTTGCCCAGCTGGAGAGCAGTGGTGTGATCTTGGCTTTTTGCAGCCTCGGCCTCCCAGGTTCAAGCAATTCTCCTCTCTCAGCCTCCTGAGTAGCTGGGACTATAGGTGCACGCTACCACGCCTAGCTAAGTTTTTGTATTTTTAGTAAAGATGGACTTTTACCATGTTGGCCAGGATGGTCTTGATCTCTTGACCTCGTGATCTGCCTTCCTCGGCCTCCCAAAGTGCTGGAATTGCTCCTTAGAATTTTTGACGCATTGTTCCATTGTCTTCCAGCTTCCCTCAATGTTGAAAGTTTGTGCCATTCTGATTCTGGATTCTTTGTGATCTTTTTTCCCCTTTGCATGCTTTTAAGATCTTTTCTGGCTGGGTTTGGTAACGCAGCACTGTAGTTTCAGCTACTTAGGAGGCTGAGGCTGGAGCCCAGGAGTTCAAGGCTGCAGTAAGCTGTAATTGAGCCACTGCACTCCAGCCAGTGTGACAGAGTGAGACTCAGTCTCTTTTTAAAAAAAAATTGTGGTGATATGCTGAGCCCTAGGTTCTTCTTTCTTTCTTTCTTTCTTTCTTTACTTACTTACTTTTAGACAAAGTCTCACTGTCACCCAGTTTGGAGTGCAGTGGAAGGATCTTGCCTCACTGCAACCTCTGCATTCTAATTTCAAGCGATTCTCCTGTCTCAGTCTCCTGAGTAGCTGGGACTAGAGGCATGCGCCACCACACCCAGCTAATTTTTGTATTTTTAGTAGAGATGAGACCAGTCTGGTCTCAAACTCCTGGCCGCCCACCTTGGTCTCCCACCTTGGTCTCCCAAGGTGCTAGAATTATAGACATGAGCCATCACACCTGGCCTAGTTTTTTTTTTTCTTTTAACACAGAGACTTGCTTTTGCCCAAGCAGCTAGAATGCAGTGGCACTATCTTGGCTCACTGCAACGACTGCCTCTTGGGTTCAAGTGATTCTTGTTCCTCAGTCTCCCAAGTAGCTGGGATTACAGGTGTGCACTACCACACCCAGCTAATTTTTTTGAGTTTTTAGTAGAGACGGGGTTTCCCATGTTGGCCAGGCTGGTCTTGAATTCCTGGCCTCTAGTGATCTGCCCGGTGGCCTCTTAAAGTGATGGGATTACAGCAGTGAGTCACTGAGCCTGCTTGCCTGGGTCCTTTTTCATTCATTGTGTTGCATACTCATTCGGCCTTTTTAATTTGGAAGCTCATGTCTTCAGTTTTGAGAAACTTTTAAATAATATTTTTCATTTTAAAAGAATTTTTTAAGAGATGGTGTCTAATTCCATTGCCCAGGCTGGAATACAGTGGTGTCATCATAGCTTACTACAACCTTGAACTCCTGGGCTCAAGTGATCCTCCTGCTTGAGTTCCCACTTAAATTATTTTTCTAATAATTTATTATCTTCCAGTTTCTCTGCAGTTTCTGGAACTATAAATTGGATATTGGACCTCTAAGATTGAGTCTCTATTTTTTCGTCTTTTCTGTCCATGTGTTTATCTCTTTTTGTTCTACTTTCTAAATTTAAGCCTTTTAATGGATTTAAAAACTATTATTGAGTTGTTATTTTTTTTCAATTTTCTCTTATAGTATTTTGGTGGTGGTTCTTGCATATGCTATCTCATATCTTAGGGTTTTAAAAAAATAAGTTTACTGTTACATTAGTGGCTTTTTAGGAGAAAGTAGAAACATGTATTTACTCTACTGTGTTTAAAGGAAGTTTTTTTGTTTGATAAAAATAACTTTTTTGAGACGGAGTTTCGCTCTGTTACACAGGCTGGAGTGCAGTGGCACAATCTCAGCTCACTGTAACCTCCACCTCCTATGTTCAAATGATTCTCCGGCCTCTGCCTCCTGAGTAGCTGAGATTACAGGCACCTGCCACCGTGCCTAGATAATTTTTTCTTTCTTTTTTTTTTTTTAGATTTCACCGCATTGGCCATGCTGATCTCAAACTCCTGACCTCAGATGATCTGCCCACCTTGGCCTCCCAAAGTGCTGAGATTACAGGTGTCAGCTACCACATCCAACCAATTTTTGTGTTTTTAGTAGAGATAGGGTTTTACCATTTTGGCCAGGTTGGTCTTGAACTTCTGACCTCAGTTAATCTGCCTGCTTCAGCCTCCCAAATTGCTGGGGTTACATGTGAGCCACCGCACCTGGCCAAAAATAAGTTTTGAGTAATAGCACAATTAATTGCCACTAGGAAATAATTTGCTGCTAGATTATACTACTTGATTCCTAATGTCACTTCTTAACTGGGAGGCCATACAGATATTTTGTGGTTATCCCAAATTCAGACTTAATGAAATATCCAATTCAGCAAACTCTTTTCTGGTAAGATGGCATGAAATAAATAGAAGTAGTACAATTTGAAGTAAAGTATACAAGTAGAAAATGAAACACATAGTTTTTTGAAGTGCTTTTGCTATAGTTTATATAAAGTAATGCAGTCTTGTTTGTGTAATTTTATAGGATGATTTTTCAGGATTGTCACCCTACGAAAGGAAGAGACTGAAGAACATATCAGAAAATGCAAACTTTTTTGCTTCTCTTCAGTTGTCTGAGGTTTGTGTGGAGTCTGTATTTAAAACTAAGATGCAGGGCTGGGAGCAGTGGCTCACACCTGTAATCCTGTCACTTGGGGAGGCTGAGATGGGTGGATTGCTTGAGGCCAGGAGTTTAAGATCAGCCTTGGTAACATAAGGAGATCCCCCCCAATCTCTATAAAAAGTAAATTAGCTGAGCACAGTGATACATGTCTGGAGTTCCAGCTGCTGGGGTGGCTGCGGTAGAAGGATGGCTTAAGCTTGAAAAGTTAAGGCTGCCGTGAGCTATGATGGTGCCACTGCACTCTAGCCTGGGCAGCAGAGCAAGACTGTGTCTCAAAGCAATAACAGCAACAACAGCAATAAAACCCAAGATGTCATAACTCCCAACAGAAGGTCAATAACATATCAGGTTTCATAATGTCAGATGAGGGAGTGTAAAATAGGAGCAGGTTTTGTACTTAATAAGAAAAGGTTACTGTATTCCATTGATTCTAAGGCCTTATTTTCATTTTTTTTGTCTTTTTTTTTTTTTGAGATAGGGTCTTGCTGTGTTGCCCAAGCTGGAGTGCAGTGGCACTGATCATGACTCACTTCTTATCTTAACGATCTTTAGTTCCTGAGTAGACCTTAGTTTAGTTTGGGCATAGTAGCAGATACTTAATATTTTAAAAGGTAAGATATGTAGTTATAACATTTTTACATGTTTTTTATACTATACAGTCTGCTGCAAGACTCCGTGAAATGATAAAGAAGAGACAGCCTCCTATATCCAAGAGGTAAAATACCTGGTTTGCAATGCCTAAACCGTGATACAGTGTTCAGTTGTTTTATAATTTGAAAAAAATGGTTTGGCATAGTAAGCTTAACAGATCATAAAGTGTTGTTTAATCTCAGTCACTATAGGATCTCTGAGGCAATGCTACCCTTTAATAACTTCACAGTTCTCATTTTTATCAAAGGAATATGGAGCAAATAGAATTGAGAGCTGAATTTTGTTCGTTGTTGCTACTAATGGAGGAAAATCTTCACTTCCACTAAATTGTTACCTAGAAAGCTATTATACTTTTTTTTTTTTGAGGCTGAGTCTCACTGTGTTGCCCAGGCTAGAGTACAGTGGTGTGATCTTGGCTCACTGCAACCTTTGCCTCCTGGGTTCATATGATTCTCTTGCCTCAGCCTCCCAAGTAGCTGGGA